CGGGAGCGTACATGCCGACAGACACCGACAGAAAGACAGAGCAGTTAGTGCTGGAGGGACACCTGAATACAAGAGGAAGAAGGAAGATGTCAGTCACCACTTACCACAGGGATTCCCCCTTCCCTCTCTGTTCCTCCAGCGCTCACTGGAGGGACAGACAGGGCAAGGGGTGGGCACAGCTGGCTCTGACTCTAGAGGGGCAGAGCCAGCTGTCAATCAGACAGCTGGGTGCATCCAAACAATATTGTTGGAAATTGAATCTTTCCTGGCTGCAGAATGGATCTGCATTGTCAGCAGAGAGTAGCCTGCTAGATGTTGTCCTTGGGCCACAGGAGTATATTAGTGAACCCAAAAGCCAAAAAAAGGTTTGAGTTTAGATCCCTTTTAACAGCTGACCGAAGGAGTTGCTCAGAAGCCAGCAGCCACCTGTTATAGGTGGACCTGAAGCAGTGGGTGGGTGCAATAGCCAGCATGCTATTGCAATTTGATATAGCTAATAGCAGTCTATCTATTGATCCCCCTGTTATCTGTTGTTTTTTTTTTTTTGCATTCTTGAATACAAATAAAAGCAGATAGCAGAGGAGTTAATGCTTCCCCTGCTATCTGCTTTTTTTTTGTATAAAAAAACAGCAGACAGCAGGGGGAATCAATAGCGAGCCTGCTATTGGCTATTTCAAATTGCAAAAGCCAATAGCAGGCTGGATATTGCATCTGCCCACTGCTGCTGTCAATCAGCAGCAGAGGAGGGGACCTGAAGGAGAACTTTCTCCTTTAAGTCAGCTCCCCTGACCAACATTTGAGAAATAGGATATGCTGAATGTAAACAGATAGGAAACTCATCTTGAAGATTTGGTGGAGAGTATCTGTCACCCCATCAACAGGAAAGGTAATATAAAGGGGAAGAAACCTTTAAGAATTAAAAAGTCTACGTGCTTGCATACCCAGGAGAAAGAGAGGACATGCGCATTGTGAAGATGCCTGGCCCAAACTCGATGTACGTCAATCACACGTGACTATACACAGTTCTGAACCGAGCAAGCCGTCACAAGGACGTGGTGATACGACTCTTAGCCTCACCCTGCACAGAGATTTCGCAGCTCATGGGACACAATCTCAGGCCAGCAGACGGTGAGCGATCGTCACTAGGGTTGGTTAACTCTGCAGTTAACGCTTTACCCTCCAAACGTTCGCTGCCACCATGTGTTTTTTAATGGAAACACAGATCGTGCCCAGCAAGTGTTGCGACAATTTAAAACACTTAAACAATGCCTATGATACCGCTGTCCTCTCAGAAAGGAATATGAAAGGTTTCACTATACAGTAGCGCTCTTCACAGAGGCAAGGATACTGTAAGTTCGTATTTAGAGCGTAGCGATAAGCTTAACAATTTTTAAGATCGTCCTTTAATAAAAGAAAATATACAGAAAAAGATTTCAACCACCTGCTGTCCGGCCGTTGTAATTAAACGGCTGGACAGCGGTTTCTTGAATGTGGGTGGGCGTTTTTAAAGTCCAATCCCGCCCCGCTTGTGCGCGCCACGGAAATCAGCTTGCAATGTAAACAGCCGGCGATGGCTGTTTACATACAAGCGTTCGGGCGTCTGTAGAGACGCTCGATCGCTTGTAATATGCGTTCGGGTGTGCGCCCTCCCCTCCGCCGCTGCTGGCGATCCCGAGCTCCGCTGTGCCCGGTGTGAGCCCGGGACCAGCACAGCAGCTCTGCAGCCGGAGATCAAACGGAGCTCAGTGCACGATCTCCGTTTGATCTCCTCCTCCTCTTCAGAATGCAGGCAGTGATGTGTATTACATCACTTCCTGCATTCAGTGTCACTCTCCGGTACAGAAACCGGAGAGAAGCTGGTGAAGCAGGTGTTTGCTTCATCAGCTTCTCTGGGGGTCCCTAGGTGACATTAGGGGTCTTAAAGACCCCCTGATGTCTCCATAAAGAGGACCTGTCACTGATAATTAGCTATCACAAAGGGGGCTTATTAGTCTCCTATGTGATAGCAATAAAGTTAAGTGGAAAAAAAATGTTTAAAAGAATTAGTTACAAAAAAAATATAAAAAAATTAAAAGTCACATATAAAGGTAATACAAAAAAATGTAAAACATTTTTTTAAGCCCCCCCGCCCCCCACATACACATGCAAACATGCGTCGACTGCGCCTAAGTGCGTAAATGACGATTGCGTCCATTACCCCGCACATGTTACGTATTGCCGCAAACGTCGCAGTGAGAGCAATAATTCTCGGCCCATCAATCGCTGATAACACTAACCTGATGAGCGGTAAAAGCTTTTAAAGCGTCGCCCATGGCCAATTTTGGGTATGGTAGTTTTTGTGAGTTCGCGGACGCACGCAATTTTAAAGCTTGACATGTTTGGTGTCTATTTACCCGACGTCAAGCAAAACAAACGACAAACGCACTCAACAATTTGTTACCAGTTATACAGTAAGGTGCACACGAAATGGGCTTTGAACAGTAAAACAGTAGAAAGGTATCATGGCACACTCACAAACCAGCATGTAAAACAACTTGTCTCACCACTGAGGTTAATTGCAGAGGTTTGGATACACATCTTCTGCAGAAAATGTGAAAGCCGCACAGCCGCGCCAAGGCACCTCTTATAGTGCGGTCCTAACTCTAAACTATGAGAGTCTCCATCTTGGAGCACATGGGGGCAGAAGATTTCAAATTGGGTGCAGGTTTGTCAGGAGGAAGCCCAACCTCCTTAAAGGCACAGGAACACACAAGGGATCACTGTTCTGTGGAATGTGGAGGGACCTGGCAAATGACTAAATGAAGGCCTGCATTTGCTCTGAATTGGGGGACATGAGAATGCTATTTTTAATATTCAGACTCAAACTCTACTATCATCACACGCATACTTCCCAACTTTCTGAGATGAGAAAGAGGGACACCTTCCAGCACCATATATTTAGACAATGGACACAGCCCTGCCACACCCTGGTTATGTGGGCCATTTGCCAAAAATGATTAGTTAAACCTAGAATTGTTTTTTTTTTTCACAATCACTTTTCTTTTTTACTGGCATTTCGAAAAAGTGAACGAGATAATCAAGAGATGAGACAAAGGTATTAGTGCAGAATAACACTTCATACATATCTATACATCAGACCAGAAAGAGGGACAACTGAGGAGGAAAGAGGGACAAAGGCATTTGGTTCCACATGAGGGACAGTCCCCACAAATGAGGGATAATTGGGAGGTAAACTGACAGCCCTGGATGTAAATAAACAATAGAGGCCTTGGCAGTCGGAAAGTATACATTGGTGGAGGGGGAGACTGGGATCAGTTAGGTCAGGACAAAAAGGATGACAGCCTTAAGGGCATGATAGCTACGTGGAAAACTCTGTGGTGCCCTCCACTTTTTGGGGCCCTAAGCTCATGTTTGTTATGCTTAAGGCTGCATTCACGCCTGAGCATGAGTGTGTATAGGCGATTTTGGATCGTTTTTATCTTTGCTTTTTTCAAGGGTATTCAGCCAATACCCCGCCTTGTTTAGCCTTAAAAAACACTAATTTTCAGGCCCTTCCTTTGAAGTACACGGGACCCAAAATGCCCACTTCTTCTTCAAAGGCAGCTCACATATCTTTTTGAGCATCAAGCATTAAGCTACAGAGGCCTGAGCGATCATATGTAAACAGACACTATTTAAAAGCACGGCATTTTGGTTTTTGAGCGTTTCAGAGCTTAAACCAGCATTTCTCAACTATTTTTTAGTCAGGGCGCCCTTTTTTTAAGTATGCAAAATCTCGAGGCACTGCACTCTAAAACCTCATAGATTTGAAACACACAAAAAAGTATGATTCCACCTCCACATCGAAGTGCCCCCCTTCAAATCAAGATTCCTCACCTTCACAGCAGAGTCAACTTTTGAATCAGGAGCCACCCTTGCACATCAGAAGCCCCTTTTATATTAGAGTCACCCCCCTCAGTGGCGTCACAAGGGGGGGTGCAGGCTGCACCGCATGACACAATCAGAGGGGGTGACACCAAAGTAACTCACAGTCATTTTGGTGTCACCTCCTCTAAAAAGTCGAGCACTCGGTCAAGGACCGAATGCCCAACAGCTGTATGAGAGAGAAGGGGACCCGGCGGCATACCTTATCCTGCCAGATGAATGTCCCCTCCTCTCTCTTCCGGCTTCCATCTCCGAGATGGCCGCTGGCAGTTAAAGTGATATTAAAATCAAAAATCTTTTTCCCTACCCCCAATGTTAATGAAAGCACTTACCTTAAATTATGTTTCTTCATCCAATCTTCTTCCTTCTTGTCCTTTTCATCTGTCCCTACAGCGCTGCGTCGGATCTACGATCCAGCGTTGACTCCTCTGTCCTTGCTGGCACTTCCTGTTCCACGGTGTCTGCATGCGGTTGCACGCGTCCATAGACTTACCTTGCATCTCTCCTCGTCTCCCGCCCGAAAATGTGAACTACGCATGCGCCCGCCCGAGAATTTTCACATTTTCTCACGGGAGTGCGCAGGGAAGACACAGGTAACTATTAACCCTTTTCAAAGCGGGTTTTTTTTGCATATATCTACTGCTTGCTAGCAATAGATATATGCAAAAACACCCGAGGCTTTAATTATCCTTTAAGTGTGTGTGACTTGCATAATGACATCCTGGTGGGAGACACCCAACAGCCACTCTGGGTGACACCTCTGGTCCCCCCACCCCTTTCACATCAGAGCTCCCCTTTTACATCAGGAGCCCTTTCACATTGGTCTTCATTCCCCCCTTCACATCCCACTTCCACAAAATTATGAGGCACCCCTGAGGAGGCCGGAAGGTGCACCAATATGCCAGGGCACCCTGGTTGAGAAAGGTTGGCATAAACTACAAAACTCTGAGGTGTTAATCAGGGCTCATGGTCGATCCAGCCTTGGCTGAAGTAGATAGTGTTATTGAAATGTGAAGTTTGTGTGGAAATGGAAGTTGGAGTGGAGGGAGAGGTTTCCCCTGTCTCCTCCTCCTCCTCCCTCTGTGATGCATCGCTCGTTTAAATAAAGCAGGCTATCTAGTGAGGCAGCCTGAGTGGGCGGACAGGGCAGCCATGGCTGTTGTTTTCACGACCATAAGAGTTATTTTGGGCTTTTTCTTTGCTTTCAGCGGAGTGCTTAAACTGACCGACCAGATCTTAGCCGAGGTGTACCAGCAGATGGTAAGTGATGGCGGGGTGTGTGCGGGGCTAGGTGTGTAACACCCGCGGGGTGATACAATCTGTGGCGGGGCTCCTGTAGGGATGAGGCAGCGGCGGGTGTTGGTGCACCTGAATGGAAGGTACGGGGCGCTGTGTGTGCCGGGAATAGGCCTCCCTGTAGTGACCGGGGGGCTCTGTATACGGCTTGTGTGCCTCATGTAGCATTACTCTCCCTGGGGGCGCGCTCGGTTTTGGGCTGGCCATTGCTATGGAGGAATAGTCGGACTAGGATTCCGTAGTGTCACTGCTGGCAGTGACATCAGTCAGGGTGACACTTCTTCAGGATCGGCGCCTAAACATTGATAGGCTGACAAACAAGACAAGGTCCGTTACAACAATACATGCTGAGCTGACCAACATCTCTACAACATGAGCCTCCCTCGTGTTTCTATTGATATTAGACTTCTTTTTTGTTTGTTTTAGATAAAGTAGGGAAGGGTGACAACCCAAGCAAGCTCCCATTCGCCTGGAGCGGTTTTTAGGTGATGATTTTTTTTCCCCTAGGTTTATTTTTTTGTGGGTTTGTGTAGTGGTGTGTTTTTTTTTTTTTTCTTCAGTCAATGTTTTTGTTGTAGCCTATGCAAACCTAGTTCCTAGAAGAAGAGGGTTGTTGGGTGTTTTTTTTCTGGTGCTCCTGTATAAGGCCAAAATAAGTTCCCAATTCTGCCCTAAAAAAGCCTTCTTTTTTTTTTTTTTTTCTTTCTTTCTTTCTTTTTTTTGTAATTTTGAGCTAGTGACACAGTGCATAGGTCTGAATGGGCACCATTTAAAATAATGGGATTCTATATGTTGAGCATTGTCGAGTTTCAGTAATGGTTTGACAAAACAGGTGTTAATGGGGGATAAGGCCTCATTTACACGGGGGAGGGGGCTTATGCTTCATTTTGAGATTCCTTTGGCAGGAACCTGTGAATGCTTGTGGCAGGAATCCCAGGTGTCCCTGTTCAGATGCGGCTGCAGTACCCATTGAAGTTATTGATGACTGGGGTTTTCAGATGGAAACATTCAGGGGTACAGGTTCTGTTAGGAACAAGCATACACATCCAGAGTAACATGCATACATGCAGTGGGTTGAACTTGATGGACCTGGGTCTTTATTCACCCTCAAATACTATGTAACTATGACAGCGGTCACATATGTCAGCAGCAGTCCACATGTAATCATACATGGTACTGTTACATGCTGTTCGGGATAGATGTCCTTGGGCTCGTTCACACTGTGTCTGCTGATCTGCACATGTATGGCATGAGCAGGGCACCTAGAATACATTTGTTCTTTATGTGTCCTCTTCACTTCATACATGTGAGGTGACGTGCAGAAAAACAGCTCAATTGAGATGGTGGATTGAATTGATCAAAATCTGGAGCAGATTTGCAGCCAATCAGCTTCTATCTTTCATTTTCTAATCTTACCTGAGTAAATTGAAGAGAGAAGCTGATTGGTTGCCATGGGCAAGGCTCCAGATTCTGTTCGAGTTTTGATAAATTCCCCCCCGCTGTGAACAAATCCCTAAGGCCCGGTTCACACCTACGCTCTGCAAAATGCTCAAACACCGAAATTCCATTATTTCCTATGGGTATGGTTCACACCTGGGCGTATTACATGCCGTATGAACGCGCTACAAAACGTTCTACAACCAAAGAAGTACAGGAGCTTCTTTGGGGCGTTTTTGTAGCGTGTTTCTATGGGGATACAGCCAAGTAGCCCTCGGAAACGCGTGTTTGTTGCACGTTTTCGACAATTGCGCATATTCGATACGCCTAGGTGTGAACCCAGCCTAAGGGTTTTATATCTGTTTGTGGCCCAATCATCCTCTATTTGTCCAGGTGAACAGCGGTCACCAGTAGTGATGAGCCTGGGCAGGGTGTGAATCCATTTCGCCTAAGCCTGCTCAAAACTGTGATTGCCACTCCTTCTCGATTCAGTTGGTGGGGGCATTTTGTGCCCCTTTGTGACGTATAGTTGTGGGGTAGGGGATGTGCCTCTCTGCAACTGATTGGGCCGGGAGGAGTGACAGTCACAGTTCTGAGCAGGCTTGGGTGAACTGGGTTCACACCAAACCCAGGCTCCTCAGTAGTCGCCAGAAGTAAACATGAGGCGAAAATCCCAAGTTTTAAGAATGTGTCTATATTTATACACAACATTTACATAAACTGCTTTCTTAACTCCTCTTGTGTCTACAGGTCAGGAAATCTCCCCAACAGGACAGAGAGGGCAAACTGAAACGACAGGTTTAACACGTCCCTACTCTATCCAAAGTGAAGAAACTAAAATTGGCTTCAGATATATTTTTATCACTAGATGGTGACTATACAGACGTGGCAGTGTATTAAAAAAAAAAAAAAAAAGTCTAAAGTTCAGGAGTTGCCCCACATTATCTGTATGTCTGCCTCACGAACTTTGCCCAGCTTCAGAAGAGATAGTGTATTGCTGCAAGAACAATTTATTTTTCTATGTCCGTGAACATTAGCTTCTGCTGTGAATGTATGAGTGGGTAAATGGCTGATGACCTTTTGCCACCCAGTGATTCAGAGACACTTGGAACACTAGTACCCTATACCCTAGTGCCATGGTTCTCAACTGGTGGGTCGTGACCCAAAAGTGGGTCGCCACATGCCTTCCACTTTTCTAGGTGAGAGTATCCTTGTCCTCCCCTTGGAGAAGCACTGTCAGTTCTCGCACCGAGCAGCCATTCAAAAATATGGTGCCGAGTGTCGACTCGAGGTGGGGCTATGGCCACGAGGGAGCTCCATCCATATGTGCATTGCTTACAGCTCATCACTTTCTGGCTCCCGACACCTCTACGGGCACACACGGGAGCTTTACAAGCAATACACATCTGGATGGAACTCCATCACAGCTCAGCAGCCCACACTGGACCCCAGGTTGAGGACCCACTCCAATTTCCATAATGGCAACCCAAACGCACCTCCTGCCTACATTTCGATCGCCTGCACCGGAAAGCGCAATACAGCAACAGGGAACATTGCAGTGCAACTTGGGTCACGACTTAATGACCGAGGACAAATGTGGGTCCCGAGGTTAAACAGGTTGAGACCCACTGCCCTAGTGTAACTGAAAGTGATCTTTCCATGAGCAGCTAGTCACTCTACTTCTTTCTTTAAGGTATATCTAATGGCAAAATGTTTTCTTTGGATTGGTTTGGTTATGCCAAAGTGAGGGCAATTTGTTCAGACAGTTATCACTGTGTCACAAGTGTCCCTATTGGAAGATATCCCCTCTATTCCTGTTCTAGTGGCCGCTCAAAAGTTTGGTTTTGCTCCTCATTTTCAGTCTCCATGACAATGGTCACTAGGACAAAAAGAGGAAGGGAATCTCCCCAGCGGGATACAAAGACAGCAGTAAATACCTGACGGGGTTCATGAGCCAAAAATTAGTGTCTGTGTTTTGTTGCTAAAGGTAATATTTTGCTTTCCATAAATTAGCCCAGATAACTCATTCTAAACCAGCTTTTTACGTTTTGTTTTAGTCCTGTATTAAAGCCCAACTCCTGGATAACATGAGAAGCCCCCCCCCCCCTTTCCTGGGCTTACAACCCAAAAAGTCCCCTTTTCAGTTACCTTAAGCTTTCTGCTTCTGGTTACTTTCTGCTTGGGTCCTTCTTCCGGGTGTCCACATTACTGCCTGTGTAACATGGACAATTCCCATTTAGCTGTCCTCTCAGGATCCAGAGGCTTACTGAGGGCCTGGGGAAGTCGAGGGGAAAAGCTGGTGAGGGTCACCGTGCAGAGTCGCAAAGGGATCTGAACGTATGGACTCGGGTGAGTATATTTTTTGCTTTACTGGGTAAAGAAAAAAAACCAAACTGGCAGGACAGGAAATACCCCAGCTTTACCATTTCAATTATTCCTTAGTCTGTCCGTGACTTTTTTTTTCTGCCCCATTTGGAAATTTTGCCTACTGTCACCACAGTGCTCTGGGTGACTGGTCTTGGCAATGTTGGCAATGGTCCTGGTCTTCCCTCCTTTTGGGGGAAAAAAAGTGCGTCTTATGGACCGAAAAATACGGTACACAAATGCAGTGTTATAAAGTTTACTTCAGAATAAAACTGCATGTACAATTTTTTTGCAATCGCACTGCACTGCAAAGCATGGCATTGCGATACCATGTGTTCCAGTGCTGGCGATCTCAATGTGGGTGGGAGGCATGTTTGGGGTGCCATTGAAATGAATGGCACTGCAACGCACCTCCCGCAGCAGAATTTGTCAGGCCGAAAACGACTCTCTTCCCACCTTTTTTTTCTTTTTAATAGTTTGTATTGTAAGAACATGGCGGCCTGAATAGGTTCAGCCAGGGAATGACAGCTGCCAGTAGCAAGATTCTGCAGATGGCAGATGAATGTAAATACAGCTGTTAGTGGGCTGGTGCAATAGTCAAAAGCAGGCTGGCTAATGCACCCGCCCACTGCATGCTGTGCCTTCCTCCCAGCATGGAGGAGAGCGCTAGTGGATCCAACCAACTAATCGATAATGAGAATAGTTGACAACTACTCATCGATTAGTTGGTTGCAGCCCTAGCCAGAACACTGCAGAATCTTGCTCCCTTATGTGACCAAGCAACATCTCGCTCGTTTGGCCAGCAAGGATTCAATGCCATAGAAGCAAGTGCATGTTCTCTCATCTCTCTGAACTTTTGGCAACAGGACTACGAGTGTGACATGGGCCTAAGAGTGACTTATGAGCAGTTACAGGTATTGCCAAGTGCCGAGTGCAGCTATTGTTATGCAAATTGCAATTTTGAGATGGTTGCCATTTGCATGGCTGATTTGGAGGATCCAAATGAGATGTGTGCTGATAACTTTAGCGCTTGTATAAATGGTTAAATGCATTTGCAATTAATTTGAGAAGCTTATAAGATTACACTGACCCTAGTGGCCCGGTCAGTTGCTTAAAAAAACCACCAGAAAGAATAAAACATAACTTCCTCGTAATAGAAGAGC